GTTACTTTCAAAAGACCACTAGAAATCAGCAGAACAATTATCCCAGCTATCCTAAGCCATTTTATTATTTTTATTCCTAAAATATGATGTTTTCTCCAATTTAGTATTCTTCCTATCTTGCTGAATTTTTTTTGTTTTTGTTTCCATGGTACTAGGGATTGAATCTGGGGGAATCCTGAGCTATATCCCTTGTCCTTTTTCACTTTTTTCCCCCCACCAGAATTCAACTCAGTACATTGTGCTTGCCAGGCACTTGCTGATTTTTATTAAGTCTCACCAAGTTGACAGCTAGCCTTCAACTTGTGATCCTTCTGCTTTAGCCTCCTGAATAGCAGCTAGAATTATGGGCATACACTATTATATGCGTCTGGCTTATGGAAATTTTCATTAAGAAATCCCATTAACTTTACTTAAATGAGCACTCCCCAAGCACTACTGAATTCTACCTTTTCGTTTCTCTTAGAAAGCCTTGTTTCACACTCACATTTTAGGAGATCTAAAGGAAAAACCTACACAGCTAATCATTAAGATTATCTTCTAGGGGCCGGGAAGATGGCTCAGTGGCGCTTTCCTGGCAAGCGCAAGGGTGTTACTTCAATCCCTGGTTCTGTACCCCCCAAAAAAAAATTCTTCTGATGCAATGTATTAATTATTGAAACTGTCCTACTAATCGGTTTTGAAACTGTCTTATTGCTATTTGTTTCTCAATAAAGTTATTTTTTTAAAAAAAGATTACTTTCTGACTTAAAAATCAGCTTTCAAATCAGTACTCAGAAAGGATTAGCAAAACAGTCACACAATATGATTAAAACACACTATTGGTAAAACAACATTTCCAGGAAGAATACAATCTGATCATAAACACAATTCTACCACTGGCCAAGGCTTTTCTAGTTTTCCAATGTCCACTCTGTCCTACTAAACACTAAGCCAGATACCATTTACAGTGCACCTGGGGAAGAGATGGACAAGACTTACCCACAGGGAACAGCGTGAGAAACACGGTCCACATTGCATGTTGCCCCCAAAGACACCACAATGCGGAGTAAGGGCACCACAAATACTCTGCATGTAAAATGAAGTCATGTGTCAATAAGCTCTGGGAAGTAGGAAATCCACCTGTCCTTAAAATACAAGTATGCGATTGTTACGAAGCCACAGGAAGTGGTTTTATAAAATGTAATTTTATTTTATGTTACTCTGCTGTTACACAGGGCATAACATTTTCACAAGGCTTTTTTGGGACTACAGTCAATGATTAGCAACACACAGTAGTGATCCAACTCTCTAAGGAACAATCACTAAACAAACTGGACACCCTCTCACATATGCACAAATCTGCATGGAAAAGTACTAGTTTTAGACTTGGACTCATGTATTTTATTTCCCCTTTCTAGTGTATTAAGAAATGACATGCACTTAAATTTGCCCAAAGCAATGCTTGGATTCTGGCAGCAACATGCTATACTTCAATTACACAGTAAAGTGAATACCAGAACTACAAAGGCAGGAGGTATAAGTGAATTTTTATTGGGAAGGGAAGTTGTCAACTTAAACAGCAGCAAATGAAGGTGAATAAGGAAACTTCTGTTGTCACAGACAGACATGACCTCCGTCAGACTCAATTCAAGAGGCTTTTCAATTTGTGACCCCCAGCCCAGAGACACCAAGTGCTTTCCCATTCAATCTAATACTTTTGGATTCCTACCAAAAAGGAACACAGCAGGAGGATGGAAAAGTTGCTCAGTGAAAGGAAACCACAAAGAGAAAAGGAGGGAATGTAGAAATTAAGAAGTTATGTTGAACACTCTTTAAATTTTAATTAACTACTGTGTCTTCGTATCTCCACAGTAACACAAAACAGTCACTGCAGAACTGGTTCAGATTACTTAAATACCAGATACATTTTTAGTCCTCTACATAAGTGTTGGAAGTTACTTATGTTTATGTGAAATGAAGCTATTAATACTTTTCTACAGCAGTAACTGCACATCAGGAAGGCCAAGACAAACACAAACCAAGGAATGGAGTTTTCCCAAAGCTGCAGTGTAAAAAGACTAGAACGGCTGCCTCCATACACATGAACGGGTTCTTGCCATAGGAAATCCAAGTGGAGAAAGGAATGGAGATATGTAAAAAGGTTTCTTGTCGGGAGGAAGGATGACGCCCTGTGTGCACTTAGTTCTCGGCCCCTTCTGCCGCGTCACATTCTTCTCCTGCGCTGTCTGATGTCCATAACTGGAAAAGAGGAATTCCATTCAGTTACCACATCTACAGCAACCTCCACGACGAGTCCTACTGGCTGGCATCAAAACAGGACTGACAGCAGTACATTCCTCAAACAGAGGCTGGCTACGACAGAAAGCTGTCTCACAGCTCCAAAGACTACCACATTCCCTCCTCCCACCCTTCACCGTTTACATTCTTACACCTTATTATTTTAGAAGTACTGCCATTTCACCATCAACAAGACAGCACCCTTGGAATCTAATGTTCTCTCTATTCCCAGAAGCTCAGTGCTTTTCTTAAAAGAACTACTGAAATATAATTTATGAGACTAATAAGGCAAAAATTGTTTGCAGGAAGGGGACAATCACAGGCAGGGTGTTTCCAAGTACATGAAGGACTAACATCTAGCAAAAGCAGCAGAATTACTTTGTGCTGCTTGAAGAGTTACAGCAATGGGTGGCTGAGGCCGTAGGGAAGAACGGGTGTCCATGCACATGAACACACAGGGTCCATCAGGCAGGCAGGATACTAAAAATAACAGAGACATGCTGGAGGAGCTATTTTAGAATGGAAAGGAAATAAAAACGAGAAGTTAAATCTTAATCCATGTAAAAAGGGATTTTGTCAGACCGACATTACTGTCAAGTTTTAGAAAACCTAGAATCTTACATAGTCTTTAAGATACTGTTAACCTACTAAAATAAACAAAAGCAAACACACCTGGAGAACTATATGTGTATGACAGAAAACTAGTTAAAACACAATTAGTTCCCAGGTGCCTCCAGGAACAGCTTTCATCACCCAGCCTGCTCTCCTCACAACTACTCAGGCCTAAGAATGCAGTGTGCTAGGCCAGGTAGACCTGTATTCTAGAAGGCTGAGGCAGAATGATTGCAAGATTAGGCCCACCTCAGAACTGTTAAGTTTAAGATAAGGCATTATCCTATCCACTTTTTCTTTTTTTTTTCTTAATGTATTTAGTACAGGGTCTACAGGGTCTCACTACATAGACTGGACTTGTAGTGATCCTCCTGTTTTCAGCCTCCCAACCGCTGGGATTACAAGTGCACGCCAGCATGCCCAGGGGGCAGGGCCTGCACAGCATGCCAGGGATCGAATCTTCGTCCCCTTTAGTCTGCTGACCTATCTGGCCAGCCCTAAAGTTCATGTATCCTTTAAAACTTTAGCAGCCTTTTTTGTTTGTTTGTTTGGTGGTACCAGGATTGAACTCAGAACCTTGCGCTTGCCAGACAAGCACTTGTTCCACTGAGCTATCTCCCCAGCCCTATCCTATCAAATTAAGCAATGAGAATCCTATGTAGCTGGTTGGGTACAGTGGTGCATGCACATAATCCCTGCACTCCAAGGGCAACTTAGGGAGACTGTCTCTTCCTGAGATGGAAAGAGCTTCCTGGACACATAGCTCAGTACAAAGGCATTGGTTTCAACCCCCAGTACCAAGGTGATGGTGATGCTAAACAGAAAAGCTCATATACACCCTCTCTCAGTCATTTCCTGCTATACTTTGGGTCTCAAGCATCCCCCAAAAGATCCATCTATTAAGGCTTGAGCCCGAGCTCATGACGCTAGTTGTAGGCAGTAAGACCTTTAGGAGGTAGGACCTACATGGAGAAGATAAGTAATTTGGGGCACAACCTCGAAGGGGACATTGGGACCCAAGCTACTTCTTATCTCTCTCTGCACTATGATGTGAACAGATTCTCCTCTACCATGTACATCTATGACCCAAAATAAACCTTTTCTCCTTGTAGGCATTTTGTGACAGAGAGCTAACACATTTCCCTGATCAACAAAGAAAACAGAGGCTTGGGCGTAGGAGAAATGGGATAAATTTAGATACATACTTACACCTTATGAAATGCTTTTGAACTCTGAGTAACTCGAAAGTAAACTTTCTATTAGAACAAGGTGTTTATGTAATTGTAGGAAGGCCTCACAGCCATCAAGCCTCTAATTCATCTGAAGAAAAGAAATACTAACGCTACACAAAAACTATCTACAGTGACAATTCATCAACATCTCCATTATGAAGAAAAAACACTTTCTCCAGTTCCTGCAAGCTTAACAATCTGACAAAATGCTTATTCACATATAAAACCTGTCTGTAAATTTCACTTTTTAGATCTATATATTCATTTTCTAGGAGGAAAACTCTTACGTAATTGCCCCTCAAAGATGCTTTCATTCTCAAAAGGAAATAGGAGTGCATCACTCACTGTTAAGTTGTCTCTGAGCAACTGCATGATGAGAGTGCTGTCTTTGTAGGAGTCTTCATTCAGCGTATCAAGCTCTGCAATAGCCTCATCAAAAGCCTGAGAAATAGCAATATCTATACATTAACGTTTACACGGGCAGAAACTGCTTACACTATAATTACAAACATTTCTCACACAAGAACTTGTGCTTATTTGCAAAAGACCCTTCTACTTGCCCATTTTGAAATACTTTGGAGAATACAGGTATTTAGTGCTATTCTCGCAGGGATTACTTTGTAATTTTATGTTTCCTTCCTAAAGTTATTCAAGCTTCTTTAGACTACTGTGCCCAGTGGACTCTTTAGCCAAGTACTACTGCTCATAACCACACAGTATGCTGTTGAAAGGGATAAGGACACACATAATCTTACCGTTTTAGCCAGTGTGCAGGCAAGCTCGGGGTTATTAAGGATCTCATAGCAAAATACAGAAAAGTTAAGAGCCAGCCCCAGGCGAATTGGGTGTGTGGGCTGCATCTCTTTCTTGCTTATATCAAATGCCTCTTGGTAGGCTCCTTGGGAATTATCTATCGTTTCTGTGAAGGAAAAACAAAAAAGCATGATTCTAAAGATGTCTATCCAGTACACAGTATGTTAAATATTAAAGCCTATGTTACTTACTGGCGCTTGGCAGAACAAGATTTTTCTATGGTGTTCTTTTAAATTCACACTAGGAAACAAGTACTAGGTATTTAAAAACTAGTTTATAAGGTTGCTAACTTATGATCTGCTTAATCATTGTAAGATTTTTAAAAATTTTTTTGGTATTGGATATCGAACTCAGGACCTTGTGCTTGCCAGGCAGGCACTTAAACTGCTGAGCTATATCCCCAGCCCTACTCTGCTTAATCAAACCACCTAAAATAGCATAGATTTCCCCAAATTTAGAGCTAAAACTACTTTCTTCTTTGGAAACACAACAATTAAAAATAATTTCACTGGACTATTCCTTTCTTAAATAATAAGAACACTTTTTTTTTTTTTTTGGTCAGAACCAGGGATTGAACTCTGGTCCTTGTGCTTACCACGCAAGGAGAACGTTTTTATATAGTCTTCATATTTTTATAACAGTATTTATAGAATATTGATCTTGTATCAAGACATATTATATGAAAAGCAATATAGAAGTGTCAACAAAATTTACTTCCACCAGTTTGATTACTGGACTAATAAAAATGTTACCCTCCAAGGCTGGAGAAATAACTCATCAGTCTAAGCGTCCGCCTAGCAAGCCCAAGGACCAGGGTTCGATCCCCAGTACGGCATGCCATGCTGGCCTGGGAATCCCAGGCACACAGTGCCAGCCCCTAAAACCAGGCGTGGTGGCACATGCCTATAATTGCAGCACTGGGGAGGCTGAGACTGGAGGATCACTGCGAGTCCAAACTGCATAGTGAGACCCTATACCAAAGAAATAATAAAAGAATAAAAAGTGCATGCATTTTAAAAAATGTCACCCTCGTTTCAAAAACATATTCTCAGGAAGTATTATCAACACTAATCTAATCATACTCATGTTTCAAAAAGTAGCTCTAGGCCAGCAAGATAGCCTAGTGGACTAAAGCACCTGCTTAGGTAAGCTTGGACAAGTACAAGGACTGAGGTTCAAACCCAGGCACTACATACTGCGCCAGCCCCACCCACAGGGCATGCTGAGCCAGTCACCAAGTCAGGGTATAGTGGCATATGCCTATAATCCCAGCGCTGGGGAGGCTGAAAACAGGAAGATCGCTGTGAGTCTGAGCTGTGTAGTGAGGCCCTGTAACAACCAAACACATTAAAAAAAAAAAAAAAAATAGTTCTATCAGGGCACTGGCCCACAGCAGCTTTAGAGCCACTTCTGGGATACAAACCAACCTATCCCTTTCTGGCCGAATGTGGCACCTTACCCCATCACAACAACCTGCTGCCTTATCACAGCTAGAACAGCCCTCTGGGGTAGGTCACCTGTGCCATTAGTACAACCACAAGCTCTGCAGTCATCTATAAACAACTGTTCAGGGCCCAGACGTGCTGATGACTCCAGCCAGAAGCAATAGCTTATTCTCCCAGACCTGGACCTCTGGACCTGGTGGTATTCCTATGCTCACTTCTGTGCCAACATTTTCAGGCTGAATTCTGTTTATGTTTATGGCACAGAAACTACATATGAGTAAATTTATTTTTATTTTTATTTATTTGTAGTACTGGGGATTGAACTCAGGACCTTGCACATTCTACAGAGCTATCTGCCCGGCCCCAGCACACGAATAAATTTAGCATACAGACTTGTAATGTTGTTTTGAGACAAGGTCTTACTATGCAGCCCATGCTGGCCTTGAACTTATGACCTTCCTGCCTCCACCTCCCAGAGTACTGGGACTACAGATGTGTGACCCTTACCCGGTTTACTGCTGTTTCTGAGGCAGGGTCTTGCTATGTAGTCACAAGACCAGCATTGAACTTGCTATGTAGACTACTAGACTGGCCTAGAACTCCTGTTGTAGCCCCCTAAGCGCTGGGGCTATACATGTGTACCATCAAGCCAGCTAGCATACAGATTTTGTTACGGTAGATACTACTTTCTCTTTATATTTTCAATTACACTGATATTCAGGATGCCAAATGGATCTTCATTCCAGTGAGATCACAGTAATATTGGTAGGAGTATTCCTTTTTGGATGGGTCAACATAACAATAAGCAATACTAATGTAAAAAAAAAAAAAAAAAAATCAGAAGTTAAGTGATATTTGTCTACATAGAACATGGTACATGTATTTCTTTTTAGAGACAGAGTCTCAATGTACAGTTCAGGCTGGCCTGGACTCACCATGAACCTAAACAGACACGCACCCTCTCTGCAAGAACATGGTAAGTTTAGATGCAGGCACATACACAAAACTGAGTAGGACTTATACTCAACTATCAACAATGCTCCTTGAGACCTTTTCACAATCAAATCGGGAGGTCAGAGAGATAGCTCAGTAGAATAAGTGCTTGCCTGGCAAGCACAAGGGCCGGAGTTCAATCCCCAGTTCCACAAAAAATAAAATAAAATTCACAATCAAATTAGGTAAACTGATTATGCTTTTAAAAAAATTTAAGTATTAAAAAATAAAAAATAAAAATTTAAGTATTTACTACTCAACTCTATTTTTTAATTTTTAAAATTCTATTTCCAATATATAAAAAATAAGATGTTTTCAAATAGTCATTTAAATACAGCTTTGAAAACCCTGATGCTTTATTTACAACAAACAAAAGTGCTACAGCACTCATAGGTATGCATGACAAATAAAATGATACCAGTATACTCTGCCTTTTTTTCAGTAGTGGTTCTGGAGGCTGACCTCAGGGCCATTTTTGAATTTGAAACCCTGATGCCTTGGCCTGCCACGAGTGCTGGGATTATAGGTACTACCTACCACATTCAGCTTACTGACATCCTTTTAAAGTAGGCCTTCATGTTTATAAATATCTATAATAACTCATTTAAATAAAATGAATAATTTGCATTTCAACTTGAATTTGAATAAACATAAGTTAATTATTTGGAATATGGATTCATAAATTCAAACATTAAAGAAGTTTCTCATTTCCATTCAGTTAACAAACACATTTCAAACACTGCAGCATCTTTCTAAGACCACTGATCTAAGACCATTTCTGCTAAGTGATTTGTAGCTGTATATGCTAAATAAAGGCTGACATTGCTAAATCAGAAAAGTTCAGACTTTTAACTTTAAACATACTTTTTTTTTTTTTTGGCAGAACCGGGGATTGAACTCAAAACATACATTTTTAAAGTATGGAAGTGCCTCTATAAAGAAGTTAGCAATGGAGTGACACATATATCAGGTGTTTCTCCAAGTAGCATGTAACCTCTCAAACATCTATAGTGAGTACATTCCAACTGAATTGAAATACATTTACAGTGCATTTCTTCTCATCTATCTGGTCTGGGTGACACCCTACCCTACAGATTATTACCCCAGACACACTGGTATTCTCCTGAGAAGCCATTTGCTTGCTACTACACAAAAATCAATTTTAAAGTCAATATAGGCAAAGAGATTCAGAAAAAAAAGCTGATTCCTCTAACCCACTTACAAAGGCTGCAAATTAGTTTCTCCTTGAATGATGAATGAGAAACTGGCTTGCTGCTGGTTTTAGCATCAGGTAGACAGCAGCTGTGACAGGCAGAGGTAGCCAAATCCCACATAGGTGGAGAAGGCAGATGGGAAAATGCTGCCAAGGCTCAGCAGTTCTTGACTTCTAATAACACAGAACAATTTGATTATGACTTGTGGTGCTATGCAGAATTCATCTGAGTTTTATGTCTCCACGGAGCTTGTTACTGCCTTGGGCAGAGGTACTAGAATTATCTTCTTTTGTCTTAACTTTCTTTGCTCAAAGGTCAAGTAGGAAATGTAAGACAATTTCATAGACCACAATGGTAATACAGCAGGCTGGAGTCACTCTGATCAAATTGGAACTGTTTTCCTCTGTAAAATTCATAATGTGTTCTTTCCTCCATGTCCTGTGTTGATCCTGAAGACAGGCCCTTGACATCTGATACAGGTATGTGGCTACCACTGCAAACATTCTGGGAAAATGATGCAACAGACTTCTTGTCCTACTGTACTGTGCTGGTTGTACTTCAGTTTTGGCAACTCATGCCATGAACTGAAGAACGCCATGGGATATTCTTAATAGCCCAAAGACAAAGCCCTTAACACAACCCATGCACTTTCACACGTATGCATTTTTATCCAACATTTCTTTATGCTGTCACTATATAGAGTTACCACCACCATTCTGTAACATCAGACACATTTTCATTGCCCATATGGGTTGGTAATGCAGAGGGTCATGGCTCTAGCTTCAGCAGCTGAGATGATGTATTCTGCGGCTTCTAACCATTCAGGTCGGTCTTCTGTCTTGTATGATTTAATGGCGTTGCAGAAGAGAAAGCAGAATCCTCAGGAAAAACCTGCACCCCACATCTAGGGTGACACCCTAATAAAGTCCTCACAGTTCACTGAGTTTCTCCCAGCAATGGAGAACCCCTTTATATTTTGGTCTCAGTTCCAATCCATGGCCTACAGTGAAGCAGATCTCCACGAGGTTCAGTGGGTTCAGTGCCAGGGTGGGCAGAATGCTGCCACTTGTGCTGGCCACCAGGCTCCCATGGAAGATGTGGTGGAAGAACATGCCTCACACAGATGTGCTGGATGCTGGCTGGCCCCGGCCCAACACATGTTCAGGACCATCAACACCCAGACACCAGGACACATGATGACACTCCAAAATCTATTTTCATGAGGAAGACTTTTTCAGTCAACACAATTACTTTTTATTCAAATAAAACCTAATGACCTCGTACATGGGTCAAACTTACTGTGAAGCTGGGACAAATTATACAAGAACTATACACACTCATCTCAACAATTCTCCTCACAAATGTGGTTGTATTTAATGAGCAATGCTGTGACCCCTTAATACAAGGAGTAATGGACATGAACAACACAAAAAAGACAAAAGCCTGTAATTTCCAGGTAAAATACAAATCACTCAAAAGGTTCTGGAGCTAATAACACTGTGAATCAAAATCCCTAAGCCCCAAAACATACAAGAGTAAGCCTATTTTTAATAACGTAATGTGGAATTATAATTAGAACACATACGTTAGTTTTTAAAGGGCATATAATACAAATCCACAACTAATTTTTAAGAAGTCCGTTTCATTTTCTTGATACATAAGTTCTACAATTATGTTTAAGTTACAAAGAACCTGGCCAGCATAGTGTGCACGTCTACTACCCCAGTTACTTGTTAAGGCTGAGGCAAGATCATATGTTCAAACCAGCCTCAGTAGCTTAGTGAGACCTTGTCTCAAAAATGAGAAGAGATGGAGTTCAGTTATAGAGCACTTGCCTAGGAGGCTCTAGGTTTCATCACCTGTATAAAAAAATCAAAAACACAACACAGAACCTGAAAGACACACCCAGACTGCCACCGTAAGCTCCTGGTAATCTCCACTCCTTCTGTATAGTCTGGCTTCCCCTGCAAGTCACACATACTTACGTTTCCGATCATCACCACATGCAACTTCAGCAAGGTATCGGAAGTAATCCCCCTTCATTTTCAGGTAGAAAACTTTACTCTCTGGATTAGTTGCATTGGCTATTAAATACTTATCCAACAATTCCTGAAACAAATAGATAAAATATCAAGCTCAGCATGACTGATGTCTCCCTCGTGTGCATCTGAACCCCCACCTGCTATGGCAATAATGTGCCCCTGCACCCAAAGGAGCCACAACCCAGGGACCAGGGGTCAGGTCACTGCCTAGTGCTTTCCTGGCAAGGAGGCTGAATCATGAGGTCCATAGCAAAGCTGGATCAACCAAGCACCATCATTAAAAAAATCCTGTTTGCTCACTAGCTCATTCATTCTTTCATTCAACAATTATTGATACTTGCTTGCTAGGTGACAGGTATTTGATTTCCATGAACACTGAACTATACCATACAGATGCTAACAAAGCACCAGAAGTAGCTAATACTGATGGCCTCTGGTCACCTTCCTGATGGGAAGGTCTACTTGAGCTGTACAAAAGAAAGGATAGGAACACACGAGGCAAAAGACAGAAACGTGATCATTTAGGGAAGGAAAACAGGATGTTTAAACATCAGGTATGTGGGAGAACAGTGTAACCACAAGATAAGCAACTCATCAAGGCCAAGAGCAGCAGCACCCAGAGGCCTCTTGTAGACAAGGTAAGTGCACAACTGTAACTGAGGCTTAGGCAGCTACTTAACAGCAATTTCTATGCCAACCACATCTCATTTGTTTTTTGGCAGTGCTGAGGACTGAACACTGGGGTTCCCATATGCAAGGCTAAGTACTTCTACCTTTGAACTATGCCCCAGCCCAGAGTCTAAATATTTTAAAAACTGAGTGAAGTATGCCTTTTATCCCTGATGTCACATACAAAGAAATCTGGACTTGATCCAATGGGCTAGTGCTTCTCAAACTATTGGTACAAGGAATGAATGCCCAGGAATAGAAAATATCACAAGTGACACATATGACAGGTATTTTCAGACTATCAGTTTTACACAATACTAAGTAATTTTAAAATCTTGTATAGAAAAATATTATGAAATATAATCCCAGAGCCATGTCTGGTGGCACACATCTATAATCCCAGGACTAGGAGGCAGGAGGATCACTGCAAGTTTGAGGCCAACTAGAGCTATATAGTGAGTTCAAGTCCAGCCTAAACTACACTCGAGACCAGTTTCCACAAAAAAAAAAAAAAAACCTAAAAATCAACAAAAAACCCCAAACACAGACACACAAACTTAAGACACTCATACAAAACCCATGAAGAGCGTACCATGTCAAGTGCTTAGTGAATATCAATTACCATCCAGTTCTGTTTAAATGCATTTTGAAAGCACTGCTCTAGACAAAGGGAAACTAAAAAAAAAAAAAAAAAACACCTATTTTAAGCAAAAGAACAAAGAAGATCATGTTTGCATTTTGAAAAAATAGCCAGATACTACTGATATCTAACTACAAAGCTGGAAATAGTGGCGCACACTTGTATTCCCAGCTACCAAAAAGGAAGTGGAGTTCCAGGATAACCCAGATGGCCTA